AACTCAGAAATACGCAGGGGCGACAAACAGACTTTCTATACGCAGCATGGCTCGCGTAACATGTATGTATAAAGCTATGTCTATAAATACCTGAAATTCAAACGTGCGTGCAAGCCTGATTCTGTTAGGTTTGCTTCTGAGAATAATTTTGCTAAAAATCACTATAAATTAGTATTTTTCGAAATCTCTTTTCTTTAACTATTTAGGGCAGAACTATTTTTTCATATTTCTATAAAGTAAAATGAGTGAAGTTGTTCTGTCTAAAAGTTGAAAACCTGTGTTTGAAGTTATTTTATAGAAAACAATGAGGATAAAAAAAGCCTGGCGTTTTGTACACATAGTACAATCTTCATGCAGATATTTTTATTGTTATTGATAATTCAACGTTTTCAAAATAAGGGTGCCTAGAACATCTAAACAAAAAAGAGCAAATTTCAAAAAACGTTGCTAAATAATCAAACTGATAAGTCATTTAAACTCTATTAATATACTAATCTCTATATTTTTACTTTTTGATTCTTTGATCAAGCAAAAATAATGATGATAATAAGGTCTATGACATCAGGTTGTGTAGATATAAGGATAAGAAAATTAGAGTTTAAGACGAGTAATTATTACATTGTGAAGGAGAGTTTACCTTGAATCGAACCCTGGAGTAGTAATCATATATTGGCAGTCAATCTTGTAAAATGGATACATATTAAAATCCATATCACAAGCAAACTCAATCTCAGCCTGATAATCAGTTACAAGAACTGAACCCTGAATTAGTATTTTTACAATATTGTCAATTTAAGAAACTCCGCATACTCTAATTGTCCAAATCTTAATCAAATATATCTGAAAATCGATGCTGATTGATTCCAAAATTTTTAGAACTAAAATATTGAGAAAGTTCTATAAATATTCTCATTAAAAATAAGACTTACTGTGCCGTTTGGATAGGCATACACATTGTTTTCTCCTCCCTGAACCTCTTTCCATTTCGTGATTTTTCTCAAATTCATAATTTGTACATCAATAACCAGAATATTTTCCCTCACTTTTCCTCCAACAAGAGCTTTATCTTTCGTGGATTCGACCCTGAAAGGTTTAGTATTAATAAATGAAACATTAAAATTTTCAATTTAACAAAACAAATTAAATACAATTTTTGCTTTAATTGCTTTCGAAAGACAGTAAGCGTAATTTTAACATTTAAACATAACAATGGCCGATTCTCAGCAGTATCATTAGAGCGTTACAGTATGAATAGGTATTAATTTTTGTAATTTAGAAAACTTATTATTTTTAATTGATGTGGTTTATCTGAAAAACTTTATCTTGCATTTCTCAGACAGGAAAACATATTTGGGAATTATCAACAGATTTAAAAAATGTTCCAACTAGATAAAAACGACAATATCTTATACATTATTGATTACATAAAGAATAAAGAGTACCGTTGTCACTCGGGGTATTGTCATCTTTTCATTTCAATTTCGCTTACAGTCCCTTTAATTCATTAATATTTATTTTTAAAACACTGTTTACCATCCATCAATCCACTTGAGGGCAGTGAAAACTTCAACTGTGATAGTTCTTCGTTTTAAATTAATATCTAGGATTTGTCGTAGCTGTAAATCTAAACAAGATAATTCAAAATTCAAATAAAAATGAGTTTTTTGTGACAAGTCTATAATATAGAATATATACCTGCGTAAACAATAGTTGGGGTTTCTTTAGGTTCAAGTAATGGATATGCAGCTGGTATGCATACCTCTTCAACACACGTCTTAAAAAAAGTAAATTTTTATAATTTAAAGATTCATTCTTAAAGTAAATATAAATGCATAAACACATATATTATATATACTCGTTATAGCTGGCCAAACGGCTTGACAAAATTTGCTGACATTTATTTAGAAAACCCATGTGTATACCAGGGGGTTGAAATAGACAAAACAAATTTTGGAAACTTTAGAAATTCCACGGGGAACGCCAGGTATTTTAGTTAAAATTATGAATCAGTGTGGGTAGCTATAACTACGAATAATTAGAGAAGCCTGGGCAACGCTATGCACTTCAGCTAATATATAATAATTGCTTAATTAATACACTGATTTACTGATCAATTGCCTCAAATTTTAGTTTTCTATCCCTTCTATCTTTGTAACATAACGTGTTAAGCCTTTGAAATTTCAAGCAATGAATAATGCTATTTAAAATATCTAACGTTTGAATCATTAAAACTAAGAATACAAATCAGAATTGTAACTTTTAAGACAAACAATGATAAATTAAAAAATTTACTAAAAGTAATAATCCAAATACAATGTAAGTAATTCCCGATTGAGTTCCATCAAAGATTTACTTTGATATTACAAATAGTTATAATTAATTCTAAAATACTTTAAGTGGTTTCTATTTTTTGAATTATTTCAGAAAAATAGACTTTTAATTAGAAGTAACCTTTTACCATATTTATTTTTATATTGTACTAGCTAAAGGGACCGGCGTTGCCCGTGGAAATTTTTTTTTTTGAAAAAAAATAAAAAAAATGCTTAAGAAAAATAATTTCGAATTTTTTTAGCCTATAACACTCCCCGGCCACCTATGAGTGTCCACAAAAAAATTCAGCTTAGTCGGTCCAGCCGTTTGGCCGGCTATACGCAACATATATATACGAATGTTTTGTTTTATCATATAGATAATTGTTAAAAACTAGCATTCAGTTTCACATTTTCCGTAAATATATATCAGTTTTTATAGATTCTTGAGATTTGTTTCTGGCATGCAGAGACAAAATAAACTTTAAAATGACCTTACGTCTGTGTACATAGAATAGGAAACTTTCTTATTTGAGAGATCATTAAAGTAGCAAATAGTTGGATGAAGAATATGCAGAATATGAAGAATAAACATTTAAAAAATTCTTAAATAAAAGAAGTATTTGCGTAAAAGATAATTAAGGGTTTAACACTAACAGTCTGAGGCAACTATTAAAGGTAAACAAACCCTTCAGTATGTAAATCACAGATTTATAGAAACTATTACATATCATTTTCTGATTTTATGAATTAAATATTTACCTTTTCATCCTCTTCTGTTTCAGTTACAGGCTGAGTGCTAATACCGTGAAGTGAGCAAATCAAAATAAGAAACGTTGCTTTCATTTTTAAGAAATAACAAAATTTTGCGGATTTTTTAATTACTTTTTGGGGAATTACACATCTTAGATTTTTAAACATATAAAGCAATATTTGATCAGAATTCTGATTTACAAATTTTAATGTTTACATCAGTATGCATGATTAAGACCTAAGAAAACAATATGTTTTTGCACGCATTTACATATATTTCATGGTTATCATAAATTTTTATTTTTCATGATTTAATAGGAAAAGTACAAATTGATAAGTGGTATGTATTTCCACATTTATTGTTTTAACCAATACGTGTTAACTAATAACTACTTAACATTTTGTGATTCTATAAGAGTGATTGCTCTATTTTGCAATTGGGTTGTCATTTGTAAGTCATTTTTAAATATTCTCTCAGTTTTACTTTTTTTCCATTATGTCAATGTCTGGAGGTAATATTGTCATGGCTTTCCGATGTTTCTTCGTATAGCAACTAAATCACTAGTCATATTTTGATTTTTTCCCCTACAAACAATGTCATATTCAAACTAAATAAATGAGTGAGTGAAGGAACGCCAGTATCATATTTGAGTCACATTCCTCGTATTTCAAATTTTTACCTTATCTCCATGCCGATCCTTTAAAAATGAGTATTATTTGGATAAACATGAAATATCAAAACTTTCGCAATTTCAACTAAAAATAAAGCGCTTCAAAAGATAGCTGTTACGTAGACAAAGGATATTTAAGAATAAAGTAAAGATTAGAATGAGAAGAAGATAATATGGAAGATGTGTCTAAAGATGTGCACTATCTGAAAATATTGATTTTAGAACGACAAATAAACTTTTAACGAAATTATCGTTTTTTTAAATAAAAAACGAAGTAAAGTAGTTATCCAAAACTAAACGTTGTTTTGTAAACCAAGGACCAAGGTAGGTTGTTAACAATCTATTCTATATACCATATATATAACGACAATACCGTCCTTAAGAAACAAAGGACGATGTCCTGAGGTAGGCCTTCCATACCTCGACGGGTAGTTCAAGTAAAAGTTTTCAATGAATCATTTTCTATATTTAGATTTAAAATGTTAGAAAATATTGTTAATTTTTAAGTGCACTAAAATAAAGATCATGAGCCCGGATAATTATTTTGCTTCGTTGAAACGGATTATTCTTAAAATTAAATACCGGTTTAAATAAAAGGTCAAAATATACCTTTCATTTAAAAAACTTGTTTGCCCTATTATGGCTATTGGCCATGGAAGCTATCCAAAGCTTGGTTTAATCAATTTTGATTAAAAGCTCCTTTCAATGACTTTTTGAATTTAAAGTTTATAAAAAATCGTAAATAAAGATTTTTTTTAGAAAAATCTGACTCAGACAAAAATTAATATTTCATCCGGGGACTTTTCACATTTTTAAGCTGTCGCAGATATTTTCACATGAACGAAAAAACAAACGATTCAAACGCATTAGAAAATCATCGATTTTTTCAAAACATTTTGACATTACGATCGTGTTTTATTGAACGAACGATTTCTTAGCAAACTTTTTGAAAAACAAATGAGTTTTTCCAACAATTTTTTTACCAAACGAACGATTTATTAAACACACAATTTTACTGAACAAACGATTTTACAGAATGATCGTTCACTGAGAGAACGAACGAAGTTGATGAAAAATTAACGATATTTTTGAGAACAAACTATTTTTTTTAACGATTGAAAAAAACTGAACAAAATGGGTCGTTCACGAACGATGAACGAACAAATGAAAAAAAACGAACGCGTCCATCAAATTACGTATTATAAGTATTTGTATAATCACGTAAAGGACTGTACATAAACTACTTTAATGTTGTTTATGTCCAATTCACAATGGTTCCAGAAAACAATTTGTCTTCTCTTTTCTTAGAAAATTTGTTATAATGTAGACTTACGGGTTTCCACTGCAGAAACATGGGGGAAAAATTTCAGAATTGAACACTGTTCAAGGTAGAAAAATAACGATATCTACCTCATCATGAAAGTTTTTAAGGTACCATTTTGAATCGTACATGCCCCTCTTTAATCTAAAGGTCACCGGAAATGACAAGGACAGTCCCTGTAATATTTTATTGAAGGATTCTAGGCTCTGTTTTTAGCAATGGTAAAAATTACAAGCTATAATTGTAAAAAGCTGATTTTTTTTTGTTGAAATTAAAAATAAAGAAATCCATTTATTTTAAACATTAAAATATTTCTAAACTTCTTTTAAATTTGAACAAGTTAATATTTATCACATTACAGTTTACGAATATATATGGTTTTTATTTCTACGTTTATATCTGTAACATAAAAAGTGAATATGTTTTAAAAAAAAACACATTTTTCTATTTCAAAATCAGTTCACTGCGTGTAATCTAATAAGATGTAAAAAATCCTTTAAACTTCTTTTTTTGTTAATTATAAAAAGAAGTTTTTTTAGAAGATGAAAAAATATTATTTTTTTAGAACATCTTTGGCATATAGTACAAGAATTTCATATCTTATTAATTTATTGTTTGTATTTCAAATCGAAATTCTTCAAGATTGCGACAATTATTCATATAAAAGGATAAGTTTTATATTTCTGTTTCTCCAGCATCTAGGTTGAAGAAAGCTGTCTCTAGTTCCTTACTGATATCCGGAGAATCAAACCTGTCATCCCAGGAGTAAACCCTTCTCTCTCCATCATTTTCTTCTCCGTCCTTTCCCTTATCCTTCCCACTTTCATTCTTCACTTCTCTCTCTTTGTTTTGACCTTTCTTTTCCAGATGGCTCCTTCCTTCTATATTTCTTGGGTCCTTCACCCACTCTTTATAACCCTGAGCAGTTGCACGGGTTTGATCTGGATTCGGAGTAGAACTGTCTCTGGGTTGTTCTGTGAGCACTACAGTCTCCTCACCTGAGAGTTTTCTTAGAATATCTTGAACTGAATCTTCGGTTCGTATCACTATGTTTTCCTTACCATCGGAGAACCTTCCTGCTCCGTCCTGGATAGTTATTCCGTCCCTAGGAAACCGTCCTACTCCGGCCTGCGTAGTTTCTCCGTTCCTGAGAATAATTCCTACTCCGTCCTGGATAGTTTTTCCGTCCCTAGAATACCTTCCTACTCCGTCCTGGATATTTTCTTTGGCAAATCGAACACTGCTGATGGATTCGTACAGGGGGTCTGACAATCTGAAATAAAGAAAGTTTATTTTATTCAATTCAACTATTTTGTTAACGAACTAAACGAATATATATACGAATTCTTAAAGAATACGAACTAAACGACGTCATTTCCTATGTTACGCTCAGCTGATCCTGTATTTACAGCAGTAATCTTTAAGTAATAACGTGAAAGATATCTTAATTTTGCCATTTAAAAAAGTATTAAACAATTTCATTGTTTCTGGTGTGAAATCCGCAAGTCGCTTTGATTAAAAACAACAATTTGAAATAGACTAATTTTTAATGGAAAAACAAGGATATCTTCATAATTCTCCGCTAGGTGTGTCTCTCCCACGTGGAACAACAGAAACATCGAGAGCAGAGACACCTGGCGGCCAACTAATTGTCGTTTAAATTGGATCATATATAAAACAAATAAAAAATATTGTGGTAAATACTCAATTCCTTTAATTTAACTTTTAACGAGTTAAACACACCATTTTCTAAAGTTAAGCTCAGCTCAATCTCAATCAAGTCACTTGAATTCTCATATTTTAATGAAACCTCTGTACTAACCTTGAGGACGAAAGACGATCTGGATAATGTGGGGACTGGAACTCTAAGGACGGAACTGGATACTGTTCGTCCGATCTAACGGGACGAGTAAGGGGAACAATGTAAGGACGAGAGGTGTGAAGATAAGGATTATTCCTGGCCCAGGTAGAGTCTATAAATAAACATGTAAAAGGGATTGTTTAGATATTTAAAAAATGGTTTGAATTCTATTTATTTATCTATTTATCTACTTTCTTTGTCTATCTGTTTGTTAAAGGGATCTAAAAATTGTCATCTCTAGATGAGAATATCATTTCAAAAAATAGAGCTCTAAACAAATGCTATAGTTTTAAGACTACAAAACGTTAAAGAAAAAAAAGGACATAGAGTAAAAAGTTTAAAGCAATCCACCTCCACATTTAAAATTCTTTAAATTTAAAAAATAGAACGTACTTAAGTTCAAGTTTAAGTGAGAAAGTGCGGTAATATCAAAAGGCCAATGCCTTGCGTTACTTTGAAGCAAACACAGTCTTGAAAATTGAAGCAACTCTTGTGTAGGCCCGTCCTGGGTTTATGTGCTGTTGTTTTTACAATCATAACTCAAAATTCCTTTTTCCGATTGTTGATCAGAGTCCAAAACTAAAGAATGCGCGAATTTTAAGTTCGAGGTTAAAAGTTCTGTAAAATAATGAATAGCTATTTAAATATTAAACTTTCTCAATTTTAAATTTGAATTTCCCGGGAAAATCTGAACCAATCAGAGAAAAGGATTTATGGAGAATATTACATAACCATCGCTAATCAGCTGTTCTTACGTAACTGAAAACAAAACATACAACCGTTTTTTGGGTTTACATCCAGAAATTAATTTATCTAAAACGTGAAATTTCTTTAACAAGGTTTTCATTTCTAAATATATCGATAAGTTGAATGCCGTTTTCTCAGCTGCAGCTGAATGATGATTGAATAATAGACAAATAGGGAAAACGCAGTATTTCAAGATAATTTAAACCTGTGTTTAAATTTTAACTCGTCGATTTCGGCGAGTTAAATATTTAACCACAGGGTTAAATATTTAACCTCACGGTTAAAGTTCAGGTTTAAATTAAGTCAGAAGTGGCATTTAACCATGAACTTAAAATTTAAGTCAAAACGTTTCGTTCTTTAGTTTTGGACTCTGAACTCTCTAGAACCCCAGAAATGTTTAAAGCTGCAGTTAAAAGATACTAGGTGTAGTGAGTCGACTTTTATCAAAAACAATTTAGCTTCTAATCTAAGCTGGGTGTTTCAGTCAACAAGAAACAATCTTATTTCATTTCTTAATTATAGACTATAAGCGTAATTTCAAGTTTGCGCAAAGATGGCTTTGCCCAATTATACAACGCTACCCTTGAAACCTTAATCTTATCAATAATGTGTAAGATAATGTTGTTTTTTTCTGACTCGAAATGTTTTAAATTTCTTATAAGCAAAAGATGCGAACTCACTTTTGCTTGGAAACCACAAATAAAAATAAACTGTGAAGTTTAACAAATATGTGTCACCTAAAGTTATGTCTATAGTTCTATTTTTAGGGATGGCTGATCTATTTTCGACCTTTTTGTTAAAAATAATATTTTTAAGTCTTTGGAATTTACTCCTTTCTTCTCTTTAGATGAGCAAATATAATGAATTTAACGTTTTAGAAATGAGTTTTGTGATAACATATAAGACGTCTGGGACATATAAGACTTCTATATTTTGGAAGAAGCCGGAATAATGATTTAAATTTTGGTTGAGAAAAATGGAAAATTAAATTGTTTGCGCGTGAACCAGAATACTAGAGAGTTAATATTGTATCCTTTCACCTACAATTGTACAATTGTATATGCAATCGTAAAAATATATCTAACTACCAAAATCATGTTTTCTTCAGAAGTTTGTGCATTTTACATTAATTTAAATTTTGAAGAAAAGCTTGTAATTTGAAATATTCTTTCCGTCGGTTTGGCGGTTATAAGAAAATGTGCGTTTAATCTTTTTTTAAATTTTTAAACCGATCTCGATAACTAACATTGCATCTTTTTTAATTTTACCTAGAGTTGAGTGTGACCATGTAGAATCTATGTTACTGACAGATCTCACTGGGTCCGGGTACAGTTCCTTTAATAAGATAAAAAATAAACTGAAGTGGGGATCATGTTTTTTTAATTGAAAACTCTATTTAGTATAGTTTAATAAACTAATTTGAGATTATCCTATTTTGAAATGTTTATAAATTTAAAATACAAACATCCTATTTTTATAATATCTTTATTAGCTCCACTTTCCTTACTGTGTTACTGTATTACCCCCTTCTTCCCATGAAAATCTAAACCTCAAGCTCGCCAAACACTTCCGTCAATTTTGCTGGGAATTGATTTGTGCACAATTTAGCGCGCACAAGCACACAATCATCAAGCGTGAACATACAGGGTGTTCCAAAAAAATTGAAATTTAAAATGGACTAGACTAGAGACTCAATTAAGTAAAACTGCTTTTGAAGAATAAAGAATATTTTATTTAAAACATGATCTGTTTATGGTTATAAAGCAAGAAATGTTTTTGGTCGTCTTCAAACAGTCATGTTTAGTTGAACCCACTGTATAAGCTGCAGAATATTTCATTGTAAAATTGTAGATTTGGACATTTGTTGTTTTCCCATCCATTAAGAGACAATTATACAAATTCTAAAAAATTTAGTATGTTTGCTAATAATGCCTGATTCGCCGTTTTAAACCCTTTCTATAAACAAAATTACAGGAGATATTCTTGTTCTTCTATCTGCAAACTGATTTTTAATGTAATCATGGTTTTCTTATGATTATGACTTCATAACCTATGCAGCAATAAAGAATAGCTAGGAAATTGACAGAGTAAATGGAGAGGGGGGCGTAATTAACATTATCATTGATTTTTGTAATTTACTTGAAAACTGATATTATAATTTACTTTAGTCTGTAATAGACCCTAAAATTACATGGAATGTTTTCATTAAACAGAGTTTTATCCAATAATTCTGAATTTTGAATATTTTTAACAAATATTGATAATTTTAGTCCACCAAGTTCATAATAATCTAAGAAAGCCACTTTATAATTTAAAGCATTAACCTTTTGTGGTAAGGGGAAGGTGTGGAAGAATGGTAGATGGTGTATAAGGAGGGAAGAGAGTGGGAGATTGTTAGAGTGTGGTAAAAAGTATATAGGGATAGGAAATGTGTGGTAGAGGGTAAAACTAGAGAGTGGGGTGGTCAGGGGTGCGGTTGTGTGGCATGTGTGGTATAGAATAAGAGAAGGGTGTCCAATACAAGTAGATTTAACTTGCGCACAATTGAGAGCCCTTCCATTTCATTCCAAACAATTCTGCATCAACAAAATTCCAAATGTAGAAGTAGTAGGGTGCAAATTAATACCTGGGAACTGGCACTGAACATGTTCTGTAAGTAGTTGTTTATTGACTCCGAGGACACAGTCCTGTTCTCCCTACGGTCTTCCTGGTCTTGATTCCGTGGATGCAATCTTACTTCTCCGTCTCTTCTCTCCTCTCTTCTTTCCTCCTTCTTTTCTCTCCTTTGTGTTCCATAAAAGTGTCTGGATTAGAGTCATGGTTTTGCTTTCTTAAAGTGCTTGAGAAGCTCTAGATTAAAAAAGTGCACGGAACTGAAAATGATTCAAACGGAATTATTGAGAAGTTACATTTAATTACAAGAGAGGGGAGGAGGGGGAGTAACTCTATGAAATATGAACCCCTGCCTTGAGATAGATTGGTTTCCTCCGACCCAACCTAAATACTTCCTCTCTTCTATACCAGGGTTCCTACTCACTCCTCCTTCAGGTTTATACAGGTCAATAGTTTGCAATCAATCAACCAACATTTAATATATTTAAATATTGGAAATCAGTAGATTCAGTAAAATCAAACTTAAAAATAACACGATCCTGAAACGAATTCTCCAGAAATTTTTCATTTTTCAATTTCTTGATGTGTATCTTGCCTATTGACCCTTGCATACCTATGATTGGGTTTCCTTTATCTATGTTTCCGTAGTCCTGCATTATAATGGATACATCCGTATGCTCGCTATATGCCGGGGTGGAAACAGTATCCATACTAATACAGCTAGAGTCAGGGGTAAGCTGAAAGTTTGAGATCTCTGTTAGAATATCTGGGGTGGCGAGGTAGCTTGTATTGGAAGGACTTGCAGTTAGCTTACCAGTCCCCATCTGGATGTACTTGGGCATATGAGTTGGTGGTCGTGGATCTCTAGGTTTCTCTCCATATTTCCGGCAAAGATGTATTAGAAGGAGTGTTACAGCTATCACCAACAGAAGGAGCACAATAATAACACAGATGCTGACCACTACAAAGTGTTCAAGTTTCAGCTCCATAGCCCCTGATATATCTCCATGGGACACGGAAAGTGTAAAGTTGGACATGGATACCCCAGCCTTGTTTCGGGCAGAGCAACTAAAGGAACCGTTCTCTGTAGAACTGATGTTTGTAATTCGTAGCTCACTTCGATATCCTTGAGAACCTAAGAAAAATGTAACGTCTTTTAATCATTTTCCTTTTTAAAATTTAGAATTTAAGGTGACTGAAGATACATTATTTCAAGTGAATATCAATTTAAAAGAATCTATCCAAATTCCCAAATGGTACTTTTTTTGAACCCCTGACTGAAATTTTTGGAAATTTTTTTGTTTTTCTAATGTAAAAACAGATAGAAGAGCAATGGTATATTTTCTATAAATAATGCTACATGCCTTGTAATCAAGAATGATATTTTAAAAAAAATAGTCACTTGAAATTACATTGATATAATCTTTAACTTCCATATAAATTTAAACACTATCCTACCTTCATACAGTTGCTTGGTGGAGAACTTAAAGACGTTCTCCTCGACCTTTCTTCCGTTGAAGGTCCAGTAGATATCTGCAGCAGGATCAGCATCAACATGACATATCAGGGTAACATCCTCTCCCTCCTCTATTGTGAGGAAGCTTGACCCAGGTTTAACAATTGGAGCGCATGCAAACTCAGGATTGCTGAGGGTTCCAACACGGAATCCAAGAAGACGGGACGGAGTGGAGCATGTTGGCTCCACCTGACGGGGTACATTACTAGAGTCCAACCAATGTTTCAGGGTTCTGTAAACCAATTCAAATCATTCATACATTGCACCAACTTTCAAGAGTAGGTCGGCTTTAAAGTGTTGCAACGCATTGGCCTTTTATTTACGTCACTGATGCTTTTGTAGTTTTTTTTTTGAAGCCCTAGACATGTATATTCTGAAATTACAAAGCATCTGTACATTTAAAGTTTTACTATAAGAATTATTTGGAAAATGAATCAATGATTTATCTGTAAAAGCCTGCAATCTTTGGATCATTGTGGATTCCAATGAAATTATGAAATGTTTGATATAAAAGTGGCCTGTTCTTAATTTGCCAAAAATTTTAAAATGTTCTCTTTGTGAAATGTCAGATCTATAGAATATCCTTCCAATAAAATAATTATCCGTATTCAATATCCGCCAATTTTTTATATCTTTAACTGAGTTCATCAATTGAATGTCTTTTAAGGAAATATGTCAAAATTCAAATATCTTTCTCCTTTTTCAGATTTCTTAGGTTCCAAGGCTTAATCTCATTAGTATAAGTGGAAAGCATAATAAATTAAGATCAAGATTAACTCTTGGCAGTTCTATGCTACTCAACAGAATATTATAGATGCATACTATACAGAATACTACTAAGGAAAACCCCTGGCATATTGTTCGTAATATTAAATTGCTGAAAGGGTTGTAGAATAACAATAAAAAGCTGACACTTTAAGCGAAGTGTTTAATATCTGATTTGATTTATTCCTAAGTTTGCAATCACAGTTCCATGGGTTCTCATGGAGAGTCACCCCATGAAGGCTTCCAGGCAGTACACCAGGCAACACATGCAGTACGTTTCCGTGCATGGACAACCTCTCTAGATACAATGTTTTGGTAATTTGAAGGACTGTAATTTGTATAAAATATTGACAGTACGATACAACACTTCAACAAGAAGTATAATAGGAAATGTACTGCAGTTTCTGGGAGAAATGTTAACAAAAGCAGTGAATCTAAACTTTGTTTACATTCCTCCCAGAAACTGAAGGACAAATAATTTTATGGAAGTTTCTTTTGTATTCCGTGATAGCTGTAATAACCTAGAGCAATATAAAATACAAGCTGAAGGGCCCGGCATTGCCCGTGGAAAAAAATTAAATAAAAAATCAGTTATTTTTTGGCCTATGTTAACCCCAGGTTACGCATGAGTGTCCTCAAAAAAAAATTATCCCATTTGGTCCAGAATTCCGAATTATTTTGGTTCTTCTCGTAGTAGACTTTATTATGTATTCTAAGAAGAAATATCTTAACGGTCCAGAAAGTATTTTCAAGCAAATCTATGAATTGTCTGATGTCTCCTAGTCGTTCTTAAAACTATATTTATATTTTGTGTTAATCCATCAATTGGGCTCGCGGATAAATCCCTCTTTGAAAATAAATCTTGAATATTTTCAAAATTTCGTCTTTTTTGATCAATTTTCGCAACTTTCTCTTTAAACTTTTGCATTTCTTTTGAAAATTCTGCATTTTCCCCGAAATTATTTTTGCATTATTTTAGCGAAATTTTCGTATTTTTTTCGCGAGTGAACGAAATCTGAAAATGCGAAATTTTCGCAGGAAACTCGGTGCTATTATCTAAAAGTCAAAAATAAAACATTTTTGGAATTTTTAAGGAATTTGTGTCATTTTGTAAATGGCTCCGTGAAAGTACATTGTATTGAAAGTTTTAATCTTATTTAATTTATCTGAAAACAGTTTTTGGTTTTATTTTTAGAAAAGAATTAATGGTAAAAATAAACCTAGGTTTTGGAGACCAGAGAATGCTTCCTCTTCAATATTGTCAATTCTGCAGTAAGATAAATCTAGTTTCAGCAAACCACGCAGAGGCTAGATTAGAATATATTGATTATAATAGGAAATGATGATAATGATAAAATTAATTAAAGTAAAAATAATAATAATAATAATAATAATAATAATAATAATAATAATAATAATAATAATAATGACAATAATAATAATAATATCTAACCTGGAATTGGTTTGCTATTATACTCCTGATAGGATTGTTAGCTAGGCTTAAACTAACTAGGGTGAGAGTAAAGGAGAATGTTGAACTGGGAACTGAAGTTAATCTAATCCAATACATTTTAACTAGGAGAACCTGGAGAACCATAAGAACCATAAGAACCATGAGAACCATGAGAACCAGGAGAACCAGGAGAACCAGGAGAACTAGGGAAACCAGGAGAACCAGGAAAACCAGGAAAACCAGGAGAACAAGGAGAACAAGGCGAACCAGGAAAACCAGGAAAACCAGGAGAACCAGGAGAACAAGGAAAACCAGGAAAACCAGGAGAACCAGGAGAACAAGGAGAACCAGGAAAACCAGGAGAACCAGGAGAACCAGGAGAACCAAGAGAACCAGGAGAACCAGGATAACCAGGAGAACCATGAGAACCAGGAGAACCATGAGAACCAGGAGAACCATGAGAACCAGGAGAACCATGAGAACCATGAGAACCAGGAGAACCAGGAGAACCGGGAGAAATAGAAAACCTTGAGGATTAGGAAACCGAGGAGAACAGGAGGATCAGGAGAATCAGGGGAACCTGGACAACCTGAAGATCCAGAAGAACCAGGAGAACCAGGAGATCCAGGAATACCAGGAGAACTAGGAGAACCAGGAGACCCAGGAAAACCGTGACTCCCCCCCTCCCACAGACTTTAAAATGTTTAAAATTACTCATTTTTAAAGGACTATTATTTACAAAAATAGTAAATATGAACAATTCATTTCAAACTTTTGAAATATTTGTTTAAAACTTGATTAGTTAAAAAGTATACAATGTTTTTAAAAAAGACAGTTAAAAATATGTCGAGAGTCTCTTTAAATGTATAAAATTCTAAAATGTATTCCTGTTAAAAGATAAATCCAACTCTACTAGGTTCAGCAAACCTAAAATAAAACGTTATCAATAATTAAACTTGGCTTCAGTAGATTTATAAAGACTGTCCCAATATTTTTGAAATGATCCAATAATAAATATTAACAAACCTTTATAAACTGAAAAAAGTACCATTGTTTACTTCTCAAAGTAATATTTTCCTCTAAAACGTCAGAAAGTCAAATTTGAAAGAGTATTTTATATTTAAATCTTAAAACAATCCTATTCATTAGGACATGTTTGACAATATAGAAAAAGTCCTAACCCCTCTCCAATCTCTCCCTCGCCCCCATTCATATAGATAAAAATCCCTTTCCCCCCCCTCCAAAAAATCTACGAAATGGAAGATTGAAAGCCACCTTACTGGAATTGTAAGGGGGTTGATTCTTTGCTACAAATTCTAATTTTCTAACCCTGATATCTTTGAAACCAAATTTAGACCTTTGTTTTTTAAACTATAAATTCTGTTGGATCAAATAATCGAAGTTTGAAATATCAAAGTTGTACACCTCATGGTTGCAAAGATATTGGGATTAGAACATTTGAGTTAGTGGCAAGAACGTATAGTTCTTTTGAAATTTGAAAATATACAAAAAAAATCCTGTTTTTTTACCTAGAAATGCTTTCTCTTCTATATTAGTGAGGTTTGCTGCCGCTAGGGTGACCCTCTGAAGGTTGACCAGCCCGGCAAGCTGGAACTCCTGGAAACATTGGTCAACATTTTAAATATAATGGCGCTAATCTACAACTTCAAAACTCAACCACTCGCGAAACTTTTATTAAAAACATAAATCTCTGTTTGTCCAATCATATTATTCAGAAACACTTTGACCGATTTGCTTCAAATTTTAATTTGGAAACTCATTATGAACCAGGGAAATGTTTTTAGTTTGGTTTTAAAGTTATAATTTGAGTGGGGCGACTTTTTTTATGAAGATTATTTTTCGGGCAAAGCTGGGTTTCCAAGTACTTCTTAAAAACACTATACACGTAATTTCAAGTGAACGTCCTTTCTAAAACAAGATGTGTTATTAAAAATGGTTTCCTTTAAACCTCAAACTGATAAACAATAAGGAAGATATCGTCGTTTTTATTTCTTGAAACATGTTGAATTCTGAAAATGTACTTCCCACGTTAGTCTAGAATAGAAAAAGATGTTTTTACCTTGTTCTTGAGTGTAGTAATATTATTCCCAGTGAGGTTTAGAACCTAATCATCATTATTATCACCATTATTATCAATATTATTTTCATTATTATCAACTTTACTATCATCATTATTATCATCATTATTATCAACATTATTACCATTATTATCAACTTTACTATCATCATTATTATCATCATTATTATCAACATATTACCATTATTATTATCCTTAATTATATCCTCTTTATTATCCTTGTTATTATCTTCATTATTATCCTTATTATTATCAATATTATTATCCTTATTATCAACTTTACTATCATCATTATTATCATCATTATTATCCTTATCTATATCCTCTTTATTATCCATGTTATTATCTTCATTATTATCCTTATTATTATCAATATTATTATCGTTATTATCAACATCACTATCATCATTATTATCATCATTATTATCATCATTATTATCAACATTACTATCATCATTATTATCATCATTATTATCAATAATATTTTCATTATTATCAACTTCACTATCATCATTATTATTATCATTATTATCTTCATTATAATCCTTATTATTATCAATATTATTATCGTTATTATCGACTTTACTATCATCATTATTATCCTCATTATTATCCTTATCTATATCCTCTTTATTATTCTTTTTATTATCTTCATCATTTTCCTTATATTTATCCTAATTAATTTGAAAATAGCATATAAAATTCATCTTAATATTCATTCTTTATAAGTTGTGTAAAATTGATATAATTTTCTACTTAGGTTTCTTACTTGAAAAATGATTAATTGGGAAATTAAAGAAGAGTTTCGAATAAGTTCGTATTTTAATTAATTTGTGATAGAAAACTTACCAATTTATTTTTATTGGATATTTCAGTCTAAATTTTTGTTTGAATTTATAAATATATATATTTTTAGTTAATGTAAAAAATACGCCATTAAATAAAAAAAAACAAACAGTATCCTTCTAGTTTGACAAAAATTCATTTCTCAAGACTTTTCAAGATTGGTCTGTTTTCTCATTACTGATGTTCTTATTTTTACGTGTTGTTTATTTATTAGACTGTTTATTGTTATTGTCCTTTTTTGTTTAATGTTGTCGTTGATGGTGTTATTATTTTGTTGTTTTTATGGCTGTTTTCCTGTTTAATGTTGTTTACGTTATTATTATTCTGAATTGTTTTTGTTAATTGTTGTTGTTGTGTTGTTATTATTATTCTGTTTGATTTTGTTTTTATTGTTTTTGTTGTTGTTGTTGTTTATGTAGATGTTGATATTATTGTTGTTGTTGTCGTTGTTGTTGTTGATATTGATATTATTCTATTGTTGTTGTTGTTTTTTTATTAATTTTTTGTTGATTATGTTTTTTTGTTGATGTTGTTGTTTATGTTTTGCTTTTTTTGTTGTTGTTGTTGTTGTAGTATTTAATGATGATGAATCCCTGAGTAGCTGCATCCACTTCTACAGGAAGATGTTCCAGACCAAGTTCTATACATTCCACAGTAATCTTACTTGACCTGAAACATATTTCAAATCTAAATATAAATTACTACTTTGCCAAATATACTCCTTCAAAACTAATGCTAGAAACAAGCGCTTTAAAGGGACTGTAACCATAATTTTAATTTCCATGCAAAGATGCTAATGCCTGATTCACAATGGTTCCCTTAAAATATTTATTAGACCAAAAATGTGGGAGATATTGTCGTTTTTTAAGGTTCAAAAGTATTTAGTACTGATAATTCCCATATGTTTTCCTGCAGTAGAAATGCGTCACTTTTTTAATGAAACCACAGTTGAAAATAATCAGTTTTTAAAATTATAAACATTCACGTATAATTCATGCATAATTAGACATTGATTTTAAGGATACCAGTGTGAATCGGGTGCCGTCCTTTTTGCATGGAGGGTCACTTGAACTTATGCCCACGGTCCCTATACATGTTTGAATCTTCATATACAGAGCTAGGAAAAATAAGTGAACAAAGGTATTAACGGTCAGACAAAGAACTGCAAAAGTTCATATTTTGCCTGGTTTCCTCAAGGAGCATAGAATATAAGGGAGATTGAATCGACCGGCCCGCCCTACCATATGATTATACATGCCTTGCAAGTTGCAGACGGGGTACTCCATTTAAAAAAATAAATTCGCAGGTCGTCTTTAAACGTTTTTAAATTGGTTTTTTACTTATTACTTTTTACCTTATTAAATAAAACCTTTTTTTAAATATTATAAAAAAATACACTTATATTGTTAATATTTTTGCATTCCAAAAAAAAGTATTTGTTTGGGTTATTCAGCCTATTTTTTCCCCTGTACAATAACTTATCCTGAATAAATGTACGCGGTATTTGTAAATCAGTTAAATATTTCTTATTTAAATAAAGCACCGTCTGCAAAGCATGTATAATAATCTTGGAAGGGCGGGCCGCGCCGGGTCGATGCCATCTCCCTTACATAGTCCATGCTAATTAAGGGTCTCTCACAGGCCAGAAGTTAGTGATCTGAGAAAATAATCAGCTTTCAAAGAGAAAATTATTAATACCTGATGCAATTCTGATCAGATAAACTTTTAGGGCATATTTTGAATAAGAAATTCCACGCTATAAATTCACAAAAATATAGTCCCTTTAAGCTCCATGTAAGGTTGAAAACCAAGGGGGACTTAAAATAATTAATTTTACCCAAGGAGTATGGAATGACCCGGCCCGCCCTATAAGCATATGATTATGCTTTGCAGACGGTACTTCATCTGAATAAGACATAGGTTATTGTATACGCAGTATTTTTACATCACAGAAATATTTCTTATTCAAATGAAGTACCGTCTGCAAAGAATGTATAATCATATGGTAGGGAGGTCCGCGTCATTTGTATCTCCCTTATATTCCATATTCCTTGGTTTTACTTTTACCGCTGGCATTTTCAGTGTAAAACTTTTTACTTTTAATTTTACGTTTAGGAATATCGAAAAACTGAAAGTATTAAATATAGAATGTGCTCAAAAATGCACAACATCCTTGCAATTTATGGCAACATTTGTATAATACAAAAAAATGCAATATATTTTTACAAAACTGAATTCGCTCTCATATCAATAACGATGTATCAAATGAAATCCATATTATAAAATGATGCATTTAGAAAGAATCTCAAATTTTGATCGAACTGGTATACCCCCCCCCCCCCTGTGACTGTCTAACTTTCCATTAATAAGCTTTAATTTACGATTAAAAATCTCTCAAGTTTTTAAGAAACAAGCTTATTGACCAAATATCAGAATAATGACTATTTCTAAGAAATGTTTTTGACTGCAAGAATCGATAATCTATTTTCTAAAGAATCTTATAAATATTTTTAAAAACATTTTTGGTATTTAAAAAAAAGCACGTTCAATTAAGTTACTTACAATGCAGTGTCTCCAAAACACATGAGAATCGTTTTTGTTTTACACTCCATTGTATGGGAAAGATCGGAAAAAAATGTTTACTGAAAATTGATTAAATCTATTTTTTGTTTGATTTATTGGGCCTCACAGCTCTATATCTTTGCAACCAGCTAAATGCCAATATTCAAGAAGTTACCTCCAAAGACATCTACAGAAAGGCGGGCACGTGGATCCCTCAGCATTTCCCGCCAAACCAAACCAAATCAATGCCAGACACAGAAGCATGATAAATGCCGCAATTCACATTCTGCAGTCGCTTGTGCAGATGGCCATTGTTGATATATTTAAATTCTGAAATTTCGAAATAAATTAACATTTAAACAACTCTTTGTTAAGTTTATGTTAAACATTAAAGTTTTAGTTAACTGTAATTTCCTTGTATAAACACTACTATTAAGGCATTAATTTCTATTTAAATTCATAAAATCAGTATTTGGGATTAAAGGGACTGTAGACGGTATCTTCAGTGACCCTGGAGTGGAGTGTCCAATTCACACCAGTACCCTTTAGACTTTTAACGAGGGGTTCCCTTTGAATTACATCGACAGTACCTTAAAATATGCGCAAAAGGTCTGAAATATTATTAACAGAGTTTACAATTTTAGACTCTATGAACTGTTTTTGTCATTTGTGCCAAAAAATATTTTCCATCTTGAACAAAGTAAACTTCATTGGTTAAACTTTTGAGAAAATATCCAAACTTACCAGATAATGATAATTTCTTCTTTTCCCCCTTTCTCTCTACCTTCCAGCCACCTTCTCTCTACCTTCCAGCCGCCTTCTCTCTACCTTCCAGCCACCTTCTCTTTACCTTCCAGCCACATTCTCTCTACATTTCAGCTAACCTCTCTACACCATTCAGCCACCTTCTCTCTACCTTCCAGCCACCTTCTCTCTAACGTCCAGCCACCTTCTCTCTACCGTCCAGCCACCTTCTCTCTACCTTCCAGTCACCTTCTCTCTACCTTCCAGCCACCTTCTCACTACCTTCCAAACACCTTCTCTCTTCCTTCCAACCACCTTCTCACTGCCTTCCAACCACCTTCTCCCTTCCTTCCAACCACCTTCTCACTACCTTCCAACCACCTTCTCCCTTTCTTCCAACTATCTTTTCACTACCTTCCAACCACCTGTACACTACCTTCCAACCACCTTCTTATTCCCTTCCAACTACATTCTCCCTTTCTTTCAGCTACCCTCTCACTCCTTTCCAACCACCTTCCCACTCCTTGGCAACCACCTTCTCACTCACTTCCAACCACATTTTCACTCCCTTTCAACCCCCTTATCACTCCCTTCAACGTCTTTTTACTCCCTTCCACCCCCCCCCCCCTCACTTTTATTAATGTTAAAGGGTTCTGGTCTGAATTCTAAACGCACGACATTCATATATCATAATTTACTTAGGAGAAAAGGTTTATAGAGTACGGACAATATACATACATTCGCCATTAATTGATCTCACACAAATGATTCTTATTACTAGCAATTGAGCATTTTTTGATCATTGATTATTTGCTCTTCCTTACATATATACTCATAGATCAATGATCTAAACTTTTGAACGGAAAAACGCTTAGCTTCATCAGCTAAACTAAATATCTAATGCAGAAACTTTTAAATTTGCGGAATAAATCTGTAAATATTTGAGGTGTTTAACTGTTTAGAGGAATTCATTTCAAGTAACTTTTGTACATGCATGCCCGATAGAGAGCGGTATCCTTTAAACCCTGAACCTACCACCTGCAAGATGCTTTTTTATTTTTTCTTATTGAAACCTTTATACTTACTTGAATGTTTAAACTTTTTTAATTTAAACACATATTTTAACAAAAAGTATAAAAAATAAAAGGCGAAAGATTTCTGTTTAGTAGTTTAAATTGAGATCGAAGATCACAGCTTGCTGTTTAATCCGTACATTTCTCTTTGCAACAATGATGAAGCAATCCCTTTCCTTATATTTCTACTTTAAAGGGAGTGGCCTGCAATGTATGGTAGTTTAATATAATATGAAAAAGAAATAATTGATTCGACATTGATTTATTCATTTATTAAAACATATGTTTCTTACCATGTTTACTGTAGAACTTGTGTTACATTTTTTGTCGTCGTTATTTAATAATTTAAAAAATCGAATCTCAAAACGTAACAATCCAAATGGAAAATTATGAACGTCGACTTTGCGCTCAAACTCAGTAATTATTCATCATTAAAACGTTTTATATGTCTTGGATGAATCCTAAAAAATTCCTCACAATAATACTATATTCTCAGTTCAACTAACATACATTGCCGATCACTCCCTTTAATTGATTAATTTTAATTGCAGATTTAAGAAAAGTCACTTAGGCTTTTTTACCTACGTAAATAATCGAAAAAATTTGTGATAATTAAACCCTTTTCAAGCTAGAAAAACGACGATATCTTTTTGTTCAGCTAAATGTGGCAAAGCTCTCATTAGTTAAAAGACACTTGAAATTACGACTACAGTCCATTTAAAACAAAATAGTTTAGCCCACAGATCTCTTTACTTCTACTTAATACCCCAAGATCATTAGTTTTCAGGTGTTAGTTCTTCCTTGTTATCCTTAATACGTTATTCATGCAAAACTAACAATAAGGTAATACATCCTGTCTGTATAGTATATAAACATATTTTTTATCTCGAATTGAAAATCCGTAAAAATAGCGTAAAATAATTTACATACATAATTATCTAGAATAAATAGGAAAAACAAGTATAAAATAGCAAAATCGAAAATCTTCATAAAAGGGGAATATTGTTCCAAAGCTAATACTTAATGACTTAATAACCAAGACACCTAGTTTACCGTGTGCTGTTTATAATTTTACACTTAATAACCAAGACACCTAGTTTATCGTATGCTGTTTATAATTTTACACTTAATAACCAGGACACCTAGTTTGCCGTGTATTGTTTATAATTTTACACTTAATAACAAGGACACCTAGTTTACCGTGTATTGTTCATAATTTTACACTTAATAACCAGGACACCTAGTTTACCGTGTGTTGTCCATGATATTACACTTAATAACCAGAACACCAAGTTCACTGTGTGCTGTTAATAGCCAGGACACATAGTTTACCGTGTATTGTTAATAACCAGGACACCTAGTTTACCGTGTGTTGTTCATGATTTAGCCATTATGAAGAGAGGACGAATGGGCAAAACATTCATCAAATAAATTAGTTCAACATTTTACAAAATATATTCTTCTTAATTGACATACTTCAGGTTCTCATCTTGACTTCCTCATACGACTTAAAGGAAATGAAAGCGTATTATTAAAAGACGACTTAAAGGAAATGAAAGCGTATTATTAAAAGACGACTTAAAGGAAATGAAAGCGTATACTCTTGTTTTTAGTATTAGATAGTACAAATTCGGAATAAAGCAACAAAGGTGATGTTTTTGAGCGATCGAATATTTTTTAGATAAATAAAAGTATTTTATGTTTTTAATTTTTACGATTATATTTTCAAATTTAGGATAAATGAAAAGTCTAATTCTAGAGGCTTAATGTGGAGAATTATATGTAATGATAAGATGATGAAGTGAATGAGCATTTATTAAAAAAGAAGAATAACAATTAAGCGTAATTTGTCAAGTATCCCTGCATGCAAAGAAGGCCAGCTCTATTTACAATGGTATCATTGAAAGCTTTTTTCTGATAAAGCATAAATCAGATAATTAAATTTTTTTTAACTGTCCGTATTTATTTGCGCGGGTTCTCTGCGAAAGTGACAACTGCGTGGAAGACACCGTCAGAAAACAACGGTATCTTCCACATTTTTGATCAGATCAAGGTTTCAAGAGTACCGTTGTAAATCAGGCAGCGTTAGTATTGCATGAAGGGACATTTGACATTACGCTTACAGTCCCTGTAGGAGACCGTTTAACATCATAGTTTATCAATATTATTATTAATGTTTTGAATTTAATATTTTGTATTATATATAATTGATATTCCTTGTGGAGTCTTGAACAATCCTTCGTCAAGATTCTATTCTTGCAAAAATTTGATAACATTTCAACATCATTTTTTAAATAAGATTGTTTTTCAAACAGATAAATTTTTTTTTGTTAAACAAATGTTTTAAGAACATCTAATATCAAATTATTTTTAGAAAAGGACTGCAAACGTAATTTCAAGTGACCCTCCATATAATATAGAGTAGCATGTACAATTCACAACAATATATATATATATATAATAAAATATAGAGAAGCATGTACAATTAACAACAATAAGCTTAAAAGAAGATGACTGGATGTAAGATATGGTTCCTAACCCAGTGTATACAATTAGATGTTGTTCCTCGGACATGTAATCAAACATTGAAAAACAGTTACAACCATACGGACCAAGAACTGATGATGCCAAAGTTTTTGGCGAAAAATATTGAGAAGAAAATGATATAATTCTAGTGCTAGCGAGTAGGGTTGGGATTTGTTTAAAAACGATCTAAAGTAAAAGCTTTGTCTGATCAGAAATTAATGAGCTATCTATATTTCTCTTCCAAATATTCTATTATTTCTGTTTAGTTTTCCATAAGTTAAGTAAATTGCTCGTAAGATTGAAATCTCAAATGTTTACAATAAAAACATCAATAAAAACATCTTTATCAGAAGAGTTATCAGGTAGACAAAAATGTTCTAAATTTCTATTATGTAACTGAATAAACTTGCCTGTCTAATTACTTGTGCGTAAAATAAAAATTAGAGGAGTTAAAAGATCAAAAATCAGTAAATTTCCCCTCCCCTTCTTTATAGTTGTCAGGGACCAAGTACACTTGTTCATCTCAGCTCTGATTTAAAATTGGTTTTGCACAGGTATATTCTTTCAATGTAATGGAACCATTATGGGATTTACTTTAAAGGGAGTGACCGGTTATGTAAGCGATGTGGAAAACTTCTTTTGGATTCATTTTAGACATATTAAACTTTTTAAAGATCCGTAAATACTAAGTTTGAACGCACATTCAACATTAAAACTCCTACTTTGGGGGTGGATACGTTTTATGAATTAGTTATTTTTTTAAATTATTAAATAACGAAGACATAAAATGTAAAAAAGTTCTACAATAAACTACAGACGTCATGTATAGGAACATGTTGAGAAAATAAAAATTAATCTTATCATCGAAAATAAGTAACCTTGTTCAATTATTAGTTTCTATTTTCTCATTATTCTGGTTTCTCATTATTCACAAAGATTTTCTGCAGATTTTCTAGAATTATTATTAAAAAGACGACATTTGA